GCCGAAAATGAATTATGAATCTAGGAAGTTTGTTCGTCTCATGAAAGTAGCTTTTGTAACCAATTATCACGGCTGTAGTAATTGTATAGATGATAGAACGGCGTAGAACTATTTACACAAATTACTACAGCCCATCAAGCTTAATTGTTTCAGAATTAATCAGCCAAGTTGATAAATATGCGTGGTGTATTCGTCCGAATGACCAAATCCAGCAGTGTAAGCCAAAAACTTATTGTAATGTCAAATGAGTTTATTCGGAAGTTCGAAATAACTAGAAACGTTCGAAAAAGTATTCCTTCAAAAAAAATCTTTAATTCGCTCTTCTTTTGTCTTTTTCTTCATATTTGTAATATAGGTAAAATTACCATCAAAAACACTTCTTAATACAACATGTTAAGGAAAAAATTGGGTCTAGGCACGTAAAATCTGTTTAGCACTGCAAAGTTTTATACATATTAATATATTTTTGGAGAAGATTTTTTCTACTTTTCGGCCGCAACTCAGAGATGTTACTTTTTCAACACAATATCAACAGGATTAAAGCTTTGTTATTAATAATTGGTTATTCAACTGTATTGGATCATTAAATCTAACTCAAAGTATTTCCTGGATAATTTTAATTTTGTCGATTGCATACTGTTGTCAGCAAGTAACAGACAATAGTAGTGAACGAATCGATTATTTATAAACTATAATTTAACCAGTAAAGGCCTTGCTTTCACACAAGTCATGTTAATATTGAAGCAGTTTCTATCCAATCGTTATAAAAAAAGATGCCACTTCTTCTTAACACGTGCTATCAATAATGTAGTGTTCTGGCGAGTCTCCCAATAGTCAACATAGAACAAATGTAATTGTAATCTGAATTTTCTCACATCTGTGAGACAGATCGGCTCGGGACCATATTTCCCAGCAAGACAGTCATACAGATTATGAATGCTAAGTGTCTTATACCCGTTCACAAAGAAGAGCCGTCTTCTAAAAAATGGCGATTACTAATGGCAAATGAAACAGAGTGATGAATAGTAATTAAGGACAGGGTATGTCAAGATAAAAATGAACACGTTTCAAAATTGATCTGACATATACTCTGTTTGTCCGAACACTTTTGTACCATACGTGTTCTGAAGACAACGTGAAACAACACTGATCAACACGGAGATTTTCAATATGGTAACGAATTTCATATGAAAAGAATTTCCAAACATTGGCACATTGCTCATGATGTAACCAGTCTTTTCCGTTTCCCACATTCACCTTAAAAGAAACCATGGTTTATAAGATTCCATCGTTAGTCGAATCGCTTGTTTCCGATCGAGCCAAGAAGTTAATCGAGCTTCTTGACGATTTTGTCGAGGTACTTGATTCGTTTGGGAAAAAGAAAGACATCAAAACTTACAGTCTCAGTGCAACAGGATTTTGTCTGTCAGTAAATAATTATCATATCTTTTAGAATGAATGCATTCCTTCAGAACGTATCTTCCATGCCCAATTGGGAAAAGGAGAAGACCGATGGAAGGCAAGTTTGAGTTACATGATACGTCGTTTGTTTGTTTTTTGAAAGCGCGATTCATAAAACTTTAATAAAAATAACCAAGTCCGGTTGAACTTCTAACCATTATCGGATTTCCTTGCTTTAGGTTGTGCCAAACGTAATTGAAGAGCTCAAAAAGAAAGCTCGAAAATTAGGTTTATGGAATTTATTTTTATCAAAAGACTACAAAGAGGGCGCTGGCCTCACAAATTTAGAATATGGTTTGATGGCAGAGATCACAGGAAAATGTTTGCGTCTTGCACCAGAGGTAACGCAGAAACAACAGATTTGTTCATTCTCATTATATCCAATGCCCACAATTCTTTCCACCTCACAAAGTCATAACTCATTTTTCCAAAAAGGCCATAAATTGTTCAGCTCCAGATACCGGCAACATGGAAGTCTTTGCAAAGTATGGTACTCCGGAACAAAAAGCCAGATGGTTAACTCCGCTCCTCGAAGGCAAAATTAGGTCTGCTTTCGCAATGACCGAAAAGGCTGTTGCTTCCTCTGACGCCACAAACATTTCAACTTCGATAATTCGTGATGGTGACCATTACATCATCAATGGACACAAATGGTGGATCTCTGGTTCTGGTGACCCGAGATGTAAGGTGTTCCTAGTGATGGGGAAGTCAGATCCGAATAACAAAAACAAGCATCGGCAGCAGAGTATAGTGATAGTCCCAGCTGACACGGAAGGTATAACTATTGTTAGGCCATTGACGATTTTTGGATATGATGATGCACCAGAGGGACATTGTGAAATTATTTTCAAAAACGTAAGAGTCCCGAAACAGAATATTATTCTTGGCGAGGGACGAGGATTTGAGGTTATTCAAGGACGCTTGGGTCCCGGAAGAATTCATCATTGGTAATTCAGGTAGATTGTGTTGAGATTTACTGTCTGTTCAATGGGAACTAAATTTTTTTTTTGGTGTCCTCGATAGCATGCGAAGTATCGGGGCATGCGAAAGAGCTCTCGATCTGATGTTACTCCGAGTAACAGATCCGTCTCGTAAAACGTTTGGTAGACTACTCGCTGAACATGGGACTATAGTTGCTGATATTGCCCGTATGCGTATAGAAATCGACCAAGCGCGGCTTTTGGTTCTTAATGCTGCTCATATGATTGACAAGAAGGGAGCCAAAGGAGCCATGAAGGAGATTGGAATGATCAAGGTGATAACGACATTTCTTGTATTATATTATAGTATTTAGTTTTCTATTCCGCAAGTCGATCGCGTATTCACGATAACGTTTGTCTTTTAGGTCATTGCTCCAGCAGTCCTTTTAAATGTACTAGATCGGTCGATACAAGCTCACGGAGCTGCAGGCGTGTCTGACGACTTTCCACTTGCCGCAATGTATGCCGCTGCACGTACGCTGAGATTTGCTGATGGGCCTGATGAAGTCCACATTCAACAGATTGGAAAACTAGAATTGAAGAGAGCAGTCGAAATTGGGAAGAATGCCGAGAAAAGACCGAGAAAGATTGTTAGTAAGCTTTAGAAAGAATGTTAACTTTCACGTGATTTATCAGAAAGTAGATCACGCGATTACAACGTAATAAATTAAAGTTTCAGTTAAATTTATTGACGACCAGAAATTTTCAGGTCTTTACTCGTTTTTTGGCCTGTTGAGCGTAGTATGAGTGCTCGAATTAGGCAATTAATATACCCTGAGCGAGGAGAATGTGACCAACCTTCGCTCTCATCAGGATTTAATCCCACCGCCCATGCTGTGGCTCGAGCGTATTCCTTTTTGCTCATCTGCTTCTTCCATGGAAGCAAAGGACATGCCACCAAATTTCACTCTCCCCTGTCATATTTTTTAAAAGAGCTGTAGCATCCAGTTATGTTATCGATTGGAGAATGTAATGACTCATGGCATAAGTTCACGTGATTGACTACAGGAATGGCGCAAGAACTCTCGGATATGTGAAAGGAGGGGAAGGGAAAGGGAAAAAATGCAGTTAATTACTGCGTCCGTTTTACAAATAAGGTTTTAAATACCAGCGTTGGTGCGAACACGGGCCAATCTCTGATGAGAAAAAAATGGGGTAAACAAAGATCATTAGCCCGTGACCTGTTATTAAGACGTTTGGACACTCATTTAAGTCTTTTTGATGGAAAAAAAAAAGTTTTTTAGATTCTCGAATCATAATTAATCTTTTTTTTTGTTCCGGCCGACCACATGCGGCACCATTTTTTTCTTTTTGCAGCAGATATGACGTTATTGACAAAGACGCTAATATGGGGGGACGTTGACGTGCTCTATGATATCATAATTCTTCCATCTGGTTCGATTCTATTCCGTTTCATTGTGTGTGGGAAACAGGATCTGTTGGCAGCGAATATGTTTGAGCCGAGAAATGGGGTTTGACCATGCCATTTGTAGTCTTGATGACCATTTACTAATAAAATATTGGATGGGGGAACTACAATTCTGGCGAGTTGTGATACAGGCAACAATATAACACACAATATGCGTAGAATCGTTGTTATACCGACAGATTGTAAATAACATGTACGTATTATATGTTACATAGCAAAGATGCTCTTTCAATTCGTTAATAATTTAGATGCGTGAGGTTCCCGAATTGGAATAGATGCTCGCTGTATCATTTGGATTAATACCATCAGACATTAAAAATAATCTCACCAATTGTAAATCATTCAGGTAGCCTGTGCTGCCCTGTGCCCAGCTCGAACAAACAAACACCAAAAAAATTCACTATGCTGCTGACATCACGTCCAATCACCAGACCAGATGTACACATGACCACTACTGGCCCAACATACCCAACATCCCATGGGTATACAGAAATAGGGGCAGATAAGCGATAAAATTAAAAACCGAGGAATAATAATAATAATGATGATATAATAAATGCTCGTCTGTATAAATAATAAATTTAATAAGTAGTAAAATAAATAATATATAATATATTCCGGTTTAGATTAGTCCCTTCATCACATATTGACTTATTTAAAAAAAAATTTCCACAAAAGCAAAACATTTTTATACCCCACCCACCCCCCTCTCTCATCGCACAATCTTAACTTTTCCCAGCCTCTCTATTGCCTTCCATATCACATACAATCACATCCTCACCCAATACAACATATTCTAACTGCCAACTGAACCATTCATATATCGTTCCCTCATTGTCTTGTACGGTCCTGGCAGTACATTACTACTATTTATACATTTGTATCTCACCAATACCTTATTACAACACGGGAAGCCTCGCTGCGCTTGGTGACACCGTATTATCGTTTTAGACCTCAAACTCCTTGTGACTACTGGTATCGAAATTATATAAACAGAGCTCTTTTCCTCCTGAACTGACGGAGAAATTGATACAACCACACATCACATACATAACAATCATAGTTACATCATAATCACATCACAATCATATAAATCCGTCAGAAATATAAACTTACAAGACACATTCGCAATGGACTCCATGGGCTACAATCAAGAGCAGATGGTAGAAAGTGGAAGACTTTATGCTGCCGGTGACCAAATGTCGAGGGTTAAAGGTACGGCGAAACATGTTGATTAGCAAACATTGATAGGTCAAGATTATCCAGATAATGTAGCAAGAATATATTTATGATAAACCGAGAAACAGAAAGAAACCCATATCCCAGTAGAGACGAGTAGAGACGAGTAGAGACACGCGCGCTCTTACGTACGCTCACTCTCACGTACGCTCACTCTCGTGCGCACACGTACACTGACTCTCTCTTACTTTACTACCCACCACTGCGACTGCTACAACAATGTTCCCACTCTTGTTTTCAGCTTTCACAGTGACTAAACTCGTATCTTTTCTCTTCTTCCCAACACAGTCGAGCAGCCAATGCAATTAGTCGACCATTCTCACCACCCACCGCTTCTCAGGAGAGATGACCACTCTCAAGTAGTCGTTCCCCAACATTCGGCCAACCATGGCTCCCCTCCTTCTACAACCACAAAGACTACCTATACTTGTAAACACTGTGGGAAGAAGTATAAACACAGGAACTGTTTGGTCAAAGTAGGTTAATCGACGACGACCGTTTTTTATAGAACTGGCAATGTAACGACGTCACCACCTGAAAACCGCCAAAACTGTTATCACGGGTCGCTTATTTTATCTTTTTTTACGTTTTCTAGCATTTATGGGAACACCACGAGAGCTGGGAATTGTGTCTAAAGTTTAACCTGACTAAACACCAGCAGGTGCAGATGATGGAGGTATGTCTAGCATATATAACTTGGCAAGGGACAGGTGTAAGCGAGGTTGGGAGGTGTCGGTAGTAACCTTTAAGGCAAGTCGAGCGGGTGTGAAAGAGTGGGAGTGAACGTGGAAAAAACAAGGGGTATTACTATGTGATAAGTACTAACGAACGCTTTTATGGGTTTTTTTTCTATTCGATTTGACGTACGGCTTTCGGACTACTTGACAACAATGACAATAACCGTTGCCGTTTTGATATTTTCTTACAACAATCTTTTTCTAATCAGGCCGCACAAATTCTTGTGGATCTCGCTTGTATAAAACAACATTAAACATTTTATCCCATTCTCTTCATTTTCCCTTCATTCCGACCATACATTCCACTCCACTCCACTCCACTCCACTCCACTCCACTCCATTTCCACCATTCTATCTATTCCATTCATCAATTCCCAATATATAACCCCTCCACACACACACGCACACCTCTTTGTACATTTTTTTTACCACCTTTTAAATTCTTATTTCCTCGCTTATATTTTTTTTCAAATTGTAATTACACCGATTCGGCGTTATGGAACAGGTTGTTGCAATATAATATTACTTATATTCTACCCACTTTTTAGATATATCTATATGAACAATGAAATACTATAACGACACGCCTGTTTCCATTATATATAGCCGTCGGTTGTTCATAAACATTTAAAGATTGTTTTCTCTTTTCTTTTCACCGCTTTCTAAACTACTCTACGATAGTCTCAGTTTTATAGTATTTTCCTGTTGCTGGTTTTGCATTGCTTTGGGATATTTGTTATGTTCAATTGTTCTAACTATATTCGTTATTTTGACTCTGAGTATTTATGATTATAAAATTAAAAAGAATATCAGGGCTGAAAAGAGAGAGGGAATTAGGACAGGCATATTATTAGAAATAGTAGACATATGATTGTGCTTTGTTCTAGTTTGTATATAGAGTTTTATTATTTCCCCTTTACATTTACATGAATATTAAGTTTTTTATAGTGTTTTATTGAATAGTAGTTGACGAGCTTCTCTCTGTCTGTTGCCCCCCAATATCACAATTATCTAACTCATTCCTCGTTTTGGATGTTATTATATTGTATGCAGTATCAGATACTAATAGTTCACATTTTTAGACTTCATGATGGTATATTATTCACCATGGATAATCTCTTTTTTTTTTTTTTAAACAAAAAAACCAATAATATACTACTTCTCCATATATGACTGTCTTTCTTTTCTTTCCTTTCTTTCCTTTTCTTTTATTTCTTTTGGGTCCTTTCCTTGTCATTTCCGTTACAAATTTAGGACATCTAAAATGTAATTACACATAAACTGTATAAAAATGAATAATCAATTTTTTTGATAAGTAATCGGCATAGATTTGCTGCATCTGTTTTGGGTAAAATATTTGGACCTGAGCACCTGACGATCTCAAGCATACCAAAAAAGGAGGGACCCGCATATTAAATAGCAAGTGTGAAAAATATACACAGATGTCATCCCTTAAAAAAAAAAAAAAAGTTTCAAAAAATTTTGTGCGCCTCACAAGTGACAACGAGAAAAACCATAAAACAAAAAGAATATACCAAGCCATTATATAATTGGAATTGTAATATTAATTGTAATAAGGTACACCAATTATCTCACTGCCAACCTCCCTTTGAGTACTCCTTATAAAAAACAATTCTTTGGGATGCATTAATGACATCCTTTCCCATTTCGGTGCATAGTACATATCCCCACTCTCTCACGCCCTTGTGGACTTTTTGCAAAGTTGGAACTATTTTTCCCGCTTTTTCACGATAAAATAGTGCTAGCAGCTGGGGCAGCGCATGAGCCGAGTTGAAATGAAAGGATGTGATTGGCGGTGATCTTAAACACTATGCTAAGTACTTCGGAATATTCTGACTCCGACCGAAATAAACGATATCTTAAAATAAACCTCTATTGAACCATAATTAGGTCATATGACTTCTGCACATTCACTTATCGCATGCAATCATATTACATTCCGTTCGTTCCCTTCTTCCCCTTCTCTAGTCCAAATAAGTATAGGCTTTGTACATTCTATATATATACATATTGGTGTTTCAGAGTGGCGAATGAGTCATTGTGAGGCAATTTATAGGTATTGGACGATTGCAGAATTGGGGAACACAGTAAACTATTATTATAATGTTGTGGCGCGATAGGGTAGTCACGTGAAGTAATAGGTCAATAATATTAATATGATAACGATAATAATAATAATAATAATAATAATAATAATAATAATAATAACAACAACAACAACGATGATAACAATAGTACATAACTTTTTTTTTATAAATATGAAATAAAAATAACTAGTACAACCATAACAACATTGTCATTCTCATTATGTGCATCCCTTAACTCAAAGATTGCCTAACAATTGTCAATTATGACGAATCGGTTTTTCTTCTCGGCAGATTTCGTTTATCAATTTTTTTGTAGATTCCGTCATATGATTTACTGCAAAACGGTCAAAGAACAGAGAAATGAAACGAAAGGGGCCGGTGTGTGGGAAGTAAAAAACTCGCTTATTACTCTTCATTGTAAATCTATGGTCACTATTCGGTACAATCACGACAGACACATATAATCAAGAGGCCCCATTTTTTTTATTTCTTCACAACCCCACTCAATCTATCGTTTCATATCAGTCACATGCCACCAACCACAAAGCCCCACTAGAAACCCCAAGTGCCCACATAAATTGATCCACGTGTAAACAAAAATTAAAAAGTATGGAGAATTCAGTTTTCGCAGAAAAGGCGTTCCCCGAGCGGGATTTTTGATTTGATTATCGGGTGTGTTAGAGTAGAGTTAAAAACTAAAAAAAGAAGTTATAGAATCAAATTAAAATATGGATCCAGAGACGCCTCCGTCGTCTAGCTCTTCGCGGTACTTATTCCAAAATAAATAAATACTCGGAAATGCTACTGTTTTTTCGTTCTGTTTGTCAACAAATCACGTTTTCATGATTTTCCTTCCGGGCCTCGTTTCGATCTCTGAATATTTGTCCAATAATCGTATAGAAAAGTACCACGTATTAAGGTAGAAGTGGCACGTCCAGCGGGTGATCCTGGCGAGAAAAGGAAGAGTCTACGCTTAAGAGCAAGACGTTCAAAAAGCGTCGGAGGACTCTCACAGACTGACGACTCGCCCAGTGACGATGGCACGACTGACGATGCAGCATTAGTATCACCAAGGATATTTCGAAGGACGAATGTTAAAAAAGAGAGTTTTGATGGTTAGTAATAGCTATGAAACGAACGAATTACAGGATCAAGAATGACAGTCATGTACCAAAACATCCAATGAAGGATGCTGGCTGATTCATTGGGCCCTCGCGAAAATTTTTTTAATTTAACAACACTCACATACCATCATGCTTTAACTATAGATTTCATAAAACGGAGACGAAATGTACTTGAAAAGGAACGATCAACAATATCGCTATACACCTCGCCTATACTCGTATTGACGTACTTTCTGGCGTACATTTGGCATCAAACGAAAGAAATTGTATCATATGCAAGATCGCGAAAGTGGATATTGACATCGGTGCCCGCTTTGATTTTATTTTTGAAATTACTCATGCTAGTCGAGGGTGTTCATCAAGTGGTACGTCGTATAAAGGAAATTGTCGGAAATTTGTTTTCCTGTTTGTGATTCGAGCCATAACTTGTAATTCCCTTCCAGGTTATCCATAATGTTCAATCGCTAATTCTGTGGTACGTCTATTGGATCGGTCTGGGCATTGCATCTTCGGTAGGGCTCGGAACTGGATTGCACACATTCGTACTGTTTCTTGGACCACATATTGCCGAAGTGACTTGGGTTGCATATACTTGTGGTAATCTGGATTTTGACACTCAAGGACCTGATAGGTGAGAATAACCAGCAGAAACTCTCGGGGGAAGGGAAGGGAAAGGAAGGCTGAAAAAGAAAATTAGATTAGCAAACTGATAGCATCAGGTTTCAGATGCATCCAAGGAACTTGTAGATTGTATCATCTGCATGACGTTACTTTTGTCATAACGTAATATTCCTGTTTCGCTTTTCATCGCCATTTTACAAAGATTTCGATGCAAATCAGAAACTGTCGACTTGGGATCGGTGACCTTATGGCGTATATTCCGAAGAGTCCAATGGGAGTCATTCTTCTGGGGACTAGGAACAGCAATTGGTGAACTACCACCATATTTTGTGGCTAGAGCCGGTACAAAATGTTTCTAATCCGGTTATGGTCGTGCCATGAGTGAGCCTCATGACTCTCTAATTCTCCAAGTTGTCCGATGCTGATACTCTCGAATGATTACATATTTGTAGCTGCATTATCTGGAAGTCGTAGTGAAGAGCTTGCAACCATTGACAAAATAATGGAACAGGATCCGGACAGTATTTCGTACAAGGAAAGGGTGCTAGTTTATATCAATAGATTGATGCAAAGATTGGGATTCTGGGGAATCTTTCTATTTGCTTCAGTAAGTGCGTCTTGTACTAAAAATTTGTTAATAACTATTGGAAATTTGTTTAATATCTCCTGATTGCAATTGTTCTAACAATATTACTATGTGTAATTGCAGATACCCAACCCGCTGTTTGATTTGGCTGGAATTATATGTGGCCAATTCCTGGTTCCGTTTTCTACCTTTTTTGGCGCTACGTTTCTTGGCAAAGCCGTTGTTAAATCCACAATACAAGTAATGACAACTTTTTTTTAATCAACGATAAATAGTTTGAATGTCAATCTCATGATGTCTCTCTTACATAACACAATAGACTACGATAGTCATACTGTTATTCTCCCAGAACACCCTTGATGCCTTACTTGAAACAACAAAACTACATTTTCCTTATTTACACGATAGGTTGGAGAAAGCGGTTGAGAAACAGTTAAGGATTCTACGTCGATCAGAAGGCGTCGAAGCTCCAGATGATGGATTGGTAAATATTACATCTGTTTGATATATTCGAATCCCACAACGCGAGAGAATGTGTGGGTGATAGAGAGCGCGCGCGTTTACTCCGTGTGACATACAGAAAAGCCCCACATACTGAATTTGTATGTAGTAATCTGATACTGTTGTAAAACATTGTTGCGGAAAAAAACACGGCGATTGTCTACATCATCAAACATTACGCGATAGCACTTTTTCGAGTATTGGGTCCTGGTCTTGATTAACTCACGATTCTTTCATTTATTTAGGGTAACCCTAGTTACATTTCGCTAGCCTGGAACACTTTCTTCAATCTTATGCTAGCATATTTTGCTCTATCAGTTATTGAAACATTAGCTATTGCTCACCTAAAGCGTGTGCATGATAATGAACTGGAAGCTCTTGAACAAAAAGCAAAGCAAACAGAAGAGGATAATAGGAAGCTGGATGAAGAAAAGGAAGAGGATTATTCTATGATGGTAAAGAGTGCTGTTGAGAGTCAGTTTAAAGAATCTATCCCGATTAGAGGCTATCTAAGCGATTAGCAATTGATAGACGGTGATGCCTGCATGTCTTATATAGTCTTGGGACATTTTTTGCAATAGTAATAGATTGGTTTAATGACTAGCTAGAATCTGTACTTTCGATTGTATGTTATTTGCAAACACTGATAAAATCTGGATTGCTCATGGGGTGTAGTTAATAGATCAACTAAACGTTGCTATCAATGAAAAGTCAAATATTTTCAGAAGATCATGCTTGTCTATTGTTTCTTTGTAGTAGACAATATGAACAACCCACAGTCAACACTTTGATCTAAAATTTAATTGCTTGTGGTTTTGCTGCATAATGAATTGCGGCCAGGAAATTAATTGCATATTAAAGAGATTAAAGGTCCATTCTTGAATTAATTACCATAAATTAATAAATTAACAATTTTAGTCATCGGCCTATCATCATTAATAAGTCTATCATACTTGTTTACAATAATAATGTAACGGTTAATTCCTAGTCAGTTTCCGTCTTCATTAATATTACCAAATTTATATTAATATCTCCCTATCACGATCAACAAGAATAATTCACAGAGATAACAATCCGCTTATCAGAAGGTTGAATGCACCAAGTCATGATGGATTGCACTTTTGGAATTTAGTCATGTGGGCCATGCTGTACGAAAACCAAATTGAACACAGCGTCATATCTATCAAGAAATCAATGTCTTTCATTCTACACATTCTGTTTCGTTATGCCGAACATTAGAAAAACAAGTAACGTTACTTGACCAAGGAGGTTTGAACGAGTAGTAGGACAAAATGGGGGGTTCTACGACAAATTTCCGAATGTATGTATTTAAGAACGGATCTCCAATATACGAACTGGGGCTCCAATTCCCGTTACACAGTCAGTCGGCCAGATGTAATCCGGCCAACAGCTCCGGCCGGAACGCATCTCCTATAATAATAATAATAAGAATAAGCCACGTGAGTAATTTGTAATACGTAACACCGTTCAATTTTAAGAATATTAACTAAACATGTTATTATTATTTTATCAAATAGAACACCACAACATATGATCAAAAAAAAAAGTACGATTAGAAAGCCTTCAGAAATTATTTTACAACACTCAAATAATGGTAAGTGTATGTGAGCCGCGAGAATGTAATAATAATAGAGTGAATGGTTTAAATAACTTTATCACGCGAACTCAATAAGTCAACCAATATAATGTAGTATATCAACAACCCAACAATCAATAAGGCAAAAAAGCACGATATGCCTGATATTTATTCCGCAGAGTATGGCAATATTCGAAATTTTGATTACTGTGCGACATGAAAAATTAACCGTAGTATGTTGTAAACGCGCTTGATATTCACCCATTTTTGAGCGAATCCATTTGTCAACACAAGGTCAACTTTGACAAAATAACATGTCTATATGAGTATGTTCTTGACATTTAATTAATAATTTGCTGCTTGTTAGTTTTCGAGCAATTTTACTTGTGTTGGATGTCATCACTTTTCTAGACTTACACGTTGTGTATGCATCTCTTTTGAAAAGTCTGGATAAACCTAACGTGTGTATATTTACGAGAGAAGAATAAGATAGTAAAGTATATGCCAAGATTGAAAACGTTTTTGCGACAACGATTAGCACGAGGGTCTGAAAGCAATGAAGGTACTGCGAGGAGTCCAAAAATATTACTCTAACTAGCATGCTTTGGGGAATAGGTATCATGAAAAGCGATACGTCGACAAACAAGATCCATGATGAAGCACGTCGTCTTGTTCTCACCACTTTACTGTTGCCCAAGAAATTGGAACATTTTGACGATCAAGAAGTTGTGTGTATCATGTTTCCCTCCTGGTTGTAGCAAGTCCAAAAAGATTGTTACCGGTTGAAGATGTGAATATGGATAAGGGGTGGGGAAGAAGAAGAAGTAGAATCGATTCCTTCGGAATTATCTCAGTGGGATACAAGCAATAAGAGCAAATATAGCTACAGACCTTTCCTCCGGAAAAAAAAAATCTTTAACCGGAGACTCTAACTTTTTTAAAAAAACTTATCGATATTAGAGTTAAAAAATATGTATAAACTCGGGAAAATGTAAATAAAAGTCTAGTCATGATGATAATATTATATTATAGTAAGGACAACGCTTTTTGGAAGCTTATCAATAGTGCTTTCCTAATTAATATCTCGAATAATTACTACACTACTGATAAGCCGGGAAAACTTTATTTTTAGGAGTCACAACTGTATTCGGGGCACTACAAGGGGGTAATGCAAAGTATTATTATTTGTTCTACGATTGTTAGACTTGTTTCTTGTCTTGGTTGATTGTGATTTTTCTGCAAATCAATTTCATATTACAATTTATACTGTTCTATACGAATTGATTGAGACTCTTGAACAATACGTAAAAACGGCGATGTTATCAAGATGAGTCAGATAGAGCAAAGTCACGCGGTAAAAGCATGGTAACACAGAAGTTGATCTTTAAGTTGTTTCACGAGTTACTTCGGGGGAAGTCCATTTTTGTTCTCCACAAAGTATAAAGTCATAGTTTCTCACTATCAAAATAGCTCGGTTCGCTAATTCAGGTGTTTCGATAACAGGAACAAGACAGTCATTATAACAATGTCGGTGTAAGTTGTTTGTACAACGATAGATATCTCAAGATAGGACGTACAATGTCAATATATCTTGTTACCACGCTACGAGTAAAAGAGCACAACGTAACAAATGGTGATACTGCTCTTTGAATATTAATATCAGAGTTCCATGTGTTTATTATTATCGTTATCTATTACTTTGTTGGATGCGGTCAATAAAAACATCCATATTCAAAAGTGCGTAAGACTGACGAATAACACGTGACAATTAAATAAGTCGCTCAATTTTTTTTGAATGAAATCTCTTGGTTACATAATTCTTTCTCACAATCAATCTTGTAGCCACACCTGTCATTATGTTGCCTTTGCCCGGTTTTGTTGTAGTAGGTTCCCATATACCAAATTTCGTGCAACCGCCCAAATTTTTTGAAGCGAGATAACGCTTTGACACGCGGTCGTTGTGTTATTCTCCTCCTATCTGTCCCCTTTGACTCATGATACCCGTGTAACAGTCCTACCAAGTTCAGCTTGGACCGGAAAATTCCGGACTTTTGTGTGTAACTAAAAAAGTACATTTGTAGTCTCGGGAAAAGTTGTATTACTATTACCCGTTCTGATTTGGGTAGTCGCTATCGTGACTTTTTTGGATTTTAAAAACCCGTATAACACATCACGCTAGCTAAAATATTCGGCCACCCCCCAACCCCCTTGAATTACGAAGCCTCCCCCACCCCCTCGTTTCTTCATCCTGCACTTACAATATTCCGCATCCCGAATTGCGTATGATATGCCGATGAACATTCGCGTGCTTAATAATATGCGCCCAGGTCAATATTTAATGTTATTACATAATCAGTTAATAAGTACTTGCTTCGTGCCAATCACAAATTTAATACCCAGTTGTGTTACACCGACGATGACCCTGGAACATCACAACATGCCCCCCGCCACTCGCAAATGAAAATTTTCAATTCAATACCTCATCTCACATTTTTATTATTTTCGTAAGGCAAAATAAAAAAAATATAACCCTCAAATACATAATAATAAACCATATGCGATATATTTATACAAGAGTCCATTCTCTTGAAATATGTATATTAGATCTTCTCTCAGCGTAAGGAACGTGATTAGTAAAGTTCTTTGGTCTTTGTGTTTTTTTTTCATACGTTATCAGAGAAAAAGGAAAAAGAAAAAGAAAAAAAAAGAAGAAAAAAAAAAGTTCAAAAGATGGCTTTCTTGGAAACATGTATACATATATATATATGAATGCGTGTATATAGCAAGGAAAATTGAAAAAATATATTATACCTACAAAAGAAATAAAACAAGACAAACTAATTACAAGCTAAAGAGAAGCAAGAGAGAGAGAGGTGGCCATACGCTGAGAGAAAACTCAAGGACCTTCTAGATCCAAGTAAATGTAAACCAGAGAAAAAATTCCATAGTTTTTTATCAAAGTTTTTGATGAATGGGTGTAAGATGGGTAAGAAAAGAATAAAGTCGTTTTGATTTAAAATGTATTTACTTATTTTCATCTGATTTTGATTTTTAAGCAAAAGCAAAATAAAAAAAAAGAAATTGAGTTAAAAGCAAGCCATCTTCTGTCGTCGTCCGGATTCATATCCATCGATAAACCATATCCTCCCCGATTCAATTTCATTAACCAATCGTTGTACGATCCATTTTTCTTTTGTTATTATATCTAGATCGTCCTTTGATCTCTTGACTGCATCATATCTCCTTGTCTCTGCTATTACGAAATCCATTACCGGATCTGACGTTATTGCTCCATCGACCATGTCTACAGATATACCGGCTAGATAATCTCTATCTAGGCAGAACTTTTGATAAAATCGAGGAGCGCCCACCGTCAAGTTTAATTTTGGCAGCGCGTGCTGTATGGCCGAATCAAAGAATGGTCGATATGCTGATAAGTTCGGTGGACCGGTCGGAGATGATTCTGGTATTATACGATGGTTATGGTCTGTGGAAACTGTGTATTTAGGTGAGGAATCAATTGTGGAATCGGCGGGAGATGATGGTATCGATGGAGGGGATGGTAAGCGAGAGTATGTATTTGAAGAGAATGGTCTTGACGTTGGTTCGAGGGTGGATTCGACGAATATTGTCGGCCGTATTATATCTTCAGCCACTGTTGAAATTGTCGTTGTCTCATCGGCTGCCGTCGTTCGTGCTGACGAGGATGATACTGTATCTTCCGATCTCGATATACAAACATAGCCATCTTCATCTTCCTCCTGATTTAGATCATCCAAGCATGCCTCTAGATAATTCAGTTCGTCTCTCTTGACATCCTCGTCAGACCATTCAAGTGGTTCATATTCTTCCGGAGCGACGAATTTGTTATATAAGAAACTGTTTATAAGTACTAATTTCCGAAGTCCGTCGGTTGTATCCCGACGGGTTACTTGGAAAGAATGTAGTTTGTGGAGGGAAACGTTGTAAATGTGTGAAAAATCCATTATTGGCGACATTGTTGTCGTGATGTGTTGTGATTAACTGACTTGTAGTTGTGTGAATGTAAATGTAAGTACGTATTGATGTCGTGGAGGGATGGTAGTATTTATAAAGATGTAACCGTAGTTTCCGCAGTAGCCAACCGCAGTCGTATCGTTTGTAAATGTAACGAGGCAAAACGGTTGGTGCGTTGGCAACAAGAAAAGCCGGAAAAGTACTGCGCTTTGTTTCAGTAAATTCTCGGCGTAGTTACTGGAATACGTGGCAAAGTAGATGATAGTAAAGTGTCGAGTTAATTGTGACCAGTAGTAAAATTAGATTGTAATTGTGTTGGTAATAGGAAGATTTTCATTGATTTCGGAAAAGACTCGTGTGCCTAAGAATTTGTTAATAGTTTCTCGAATAATCTGGATATGGGAACAATAATGAGTATTTGTATGCAGATGGGAAGGTGGATTTGTTTTAGGTGATGCGAAGTGGTATTAGTAAGTAAAGTGAAGATTGAATATAACAGTCGATTGTGTCTAGTAGTAAAGTGTAAGTGCGGGAATCAGTTTTTGTCTCGAGAGACAACCTACGAAGTTATTTCCGACGCTTCATGATTAGAAGTGAAATAGAATCTAGAATGTCTGTTGTTGTGTTAATTGTATTAGTGTTGTTTAGAGTACTGCGTAAGTTTGTTTTCCCCGCATCAGACGCAAAAGTGTTACAGAGTACAAAGTTAAAGAGTAGTGACTAGTATGAAGAGAGAACGATTTGCTTTTGTTATTATCGCTTGTTGATATAGTGGTTTAGAAAGTCATCTTGAACATGTTTAGAGGGATATTTGTGATGGAGAATGGGTAAAAAAACAATAAGGCACGTAGTACTTATATTAGAGAGAGGGGGGTGGTAAGCAAGCTGATCTGCACTATCTGCTTGTTATTTGTATTGTATATTGGGTTGTTTATTGTGGAATGTAGCACAATATGATTGGATAATGCTGTAAGTGTGAGTCAGAAGATATATGGTAGCATATAATATAATTATCGACTATTGTGTGATCGTGGTAATATGGAAAATATTCAATGCACAATCAATATAAATAACGTTATTTGCAAATTGAGGAAACGCAATTCTTGTTTAACACATGACCTTAATAAGAATTTGTAAGAAACTATAATGGAAATAAAATACGTTAATACGTATATTCATACATAGTCTTGTATAGATATCGGTTGTATTGTACATAATATCGTTAGTTATGGCAAGATTTCCGACTCTTTCTTACAATCCCTTGTATTGTAAAAAGGACGGGATTTTCGAGAGTATTTGGTTTCACAGTTGTCCGGTGACTATGCACTGCTACCTACGTGACTATTACTTAGCCCAATTTTTCATTTCAAACATGGGCGTCAACTAATCCAATTAGGTGTAGCTCATGTGTTCACTAGCACAACAAACGTCATAACATCGATCCAACGACGACAAAGTGCAGCGAGAAAGACGACAAAAGAGATAAGCCTGAAAATGGTAATTCGAGTTGCACAGTCGGTAGCCACTGCTTCTGTATTATTGTCTTTGTTCTACACAATGTACGTGTTGGTATTTCCCCCTGCGTTAAACCTTCTTCAATAATTAATTCATCGAATTGCGTCATATCAGAGAATAGTAAATGAAGGATCACTTGACAACTTTCCCCATTCCCCCCTGTTCTTTCATCATCGTTCTTTCATCCGATAGAGATGTATAATTTGGCTTAGTAAATGCATGTTATTGTCGTTGTTCTGACCAGTGAGTAACCTCTCGGGCGTAGATGAAAAGTTTTTAGCATTTTCGGGTTAAATTTTTATTTGCGTTTGACGCATGAGCCACGTTCAATCAATCCCCCAATGGGCAAGTGGGAAAGTACTAGGAAGACAGGTCCTGTCGCAGGCCTAACCATTATTTTGTTAAATAAACACCGGCAAAAGATATAATCTGTGCATCATATTTACTAGGATCCGAGCAGTTGGTGACATATTATTAATTTCGGCATTTATATTTATATGTGCCATTCTCCCACATCATCTTCCCAGACAAGCTTTGCCTCGGTGGTACAATTTATAATATTCCCATCAGGTGACTCGAGATATTGATAACGAGAATTGTTTCTCTATTGTTGAAATGTAGAATGAAGCAAGTTAATCCGGACAGCAAATCAACGGTGAGACTGAGCTGCAAAAGAATGTGCAGTTCATCACTATTATGTGACCGCTATTGGTGCATATCGTAATCTCACCGCATCTGTTCTCGTGACTGAGCGAAATGAACCCATCTCAGCAAAAATATGCAAGAAATTGTAGACAACGATCGGGGCTTGTTTCCTTACATAAGGGGGAGGGCGGAGATATGGGGGTGCGGGGATGGCGGTGGGGGGGGGGGGACTTTTGATGAATTGATTAAGCAGCCCATCCTTCGTTATCTGCTGCATCGGAGTCATATTAGAGTCACTTAATAGTACACCATTTCACATCATTATTTTACAATATTTCATTGTGAAAATTTGAGACATCATTGACAGACCACGCGGCAGCATGCAACGCAGACGTATGCAGTAACAAAAGGATGGCTATCTCATATTGTCCGTCTGCAATTATTGATGCAATAGATTGAGTTTCAATTTAATCACATGATTTATTAATTGCGCTGAGATATGTAAGATGGAGACGGTTATAGCGAGCGGGCTGGTGTTAATTGTTCAGGCTTGTTACACGCCTTTGGGAATGAAAAAGACAGCCGACTTATGTTATCATGCTGTATTACGACTTATCAGTAAATAAACAACTCTTCCAGACAATGAGAACATGTATTATTAAGGAATGGTTCCTGATAACAAATAATTGATTGGTGGATATGATAACCAGTAAATATTTCAGAATTCCCATTCGGAGTGCAAAGCAGGTAATTATATTACTCAACACACAGGTCTACTGATGGCGCATCTCGCACATGCAAATATTTTGACTTCCGTAATCGGTAACTAACGTATACGTTAGCGAAAAGTTTTCTTTTTCTATTGATATAGTATAAGTTGCAATACTGTAAATATATTTAATTTGTCATTGTAGGCTAATGCGCGCGAATACCATCTCTTATGTGCATGCTTCGTTAGCGTTCAACGTAGTGTGACTAATAGAGAACACAGATCCCTGCAATATTTCATGCTATGTCTTCAATCATAATCATTTAAGTTTCCGTATTCAGAGCTGGGATGAACGTCCAGCTAATTCGTTAAACAGTTGGTATATACTCGAGCTAGAGTATTCGATTTCAAATCTCACGTCTAAAAAAGCCTTTTGTCCGTTACTATGGCTCTATTAGTCCCTTTTTTCAAGTTTTGCTTCATAAAATCTAACACTTTGCACAAGAGAAGTCACACGTGTGAAAATTTACGACACTAGCTTCATCTTTTGTTAGAACAACTGGTATGAATATCGTTAATTCCTACATCGTCTTAGTCTAAACTCAAGAGTAGTTGAAAAATGCTTTTAGACGCATGTGAAGCCCTTGGCTAGAATGTTGACTTGGCAAATGCCAAGCAGATGTTTAAGTTAGCCAAGTAATCCCATTGTTATTGTATTAAATCAAAATGTATCTTATAAAGTCAATCGCAATAATCTAATTAATAACATTATGGTAGGTTTCACTATTAAATAAACTAACAATGCGCTGTTACAAGTTGTGACAATCAAGACGAGAGAACTTAAGGAGTGTGGTGTATTAACCCACAGGAGATATTCTGTATTCAGAATGGGGCATGCCGAATATTGATCATGATTAATATTAATATGAGCACCAGACAAAGTGAACGTTCTATTATGTGACGTAAATGAAAGCTGATTATGCGGCCGTGAAATTTGACCAGTGTGACTGATTATGATGACGTTTTGAAAAGTAATAATGGTGCTCATTCATAACTTGTGGACTTGTTATTCACTTTGTTATACCAGAATGTGATGAATATTAATATGAATAATAACATGATTAATATAAAATCATCTCTATATAAAATAAAATATATGAAATTAATTTATATTAAGTCTACCATGGAACCAAAGAATTACTGTTAGAAGCATTCTAAAAAAAGTTCAAGGAGAAAAATTGCTCTATACGTTCTAAAACGAATGACACCCAAACACTGTAGGAATATCTAGATCAAGAAAAATCACTTATGAAATTTACCAAGAAGAACGAAAAATAGTAAACTATGAACGAACATTACCACCAACTTAAGAAAAGAACAAAAATTAGAAGAAAGATAAGGGAAAGCAGGTTAACATTCAAATGTGAGGGTTTTCAGGAGAAGCGTGTTGCAGTTGCAAAATCCACGAGGCTATATACTAAGTCAAGACACGAGACACTGGGAGATAAATAATCTGGATCGCAATTGAATTTTAATTTCGAAGTTCTTTATGTATTAATAGTATCTAATAATGCACGTTAATCATAATATACAATTTCGAATCAACAATGGAACCAAAGACTTGCAGCACCATTAGAAGTATGTGGGGGACGGGAGTTTTTGTATGGCTCTATAACTTGAGATTGCAACAGTCTAAGTAAAGACTGGAATAATCATAAATGAAGCGCGCTGCAACAAAACCAGACAAAGTAAACATTCTATTATGATTATGTAACATAAATGAGAGGCTGATTATTGTAAAATTGACCAGTGTGACTGATGACATTTTGAAAAGTAATAATGGTGCCTTATAGACCTGTTAATTATAATAATCACTTTATCATACCAGAATGTAGTGAATATAAACCATAACAGGTTTGAAAATAGGATTATCTCTATGTAAAATATGAAACTAACTTATATTAAATCTACCATGAAACCCAAGAATCGCAGCACTATTAGAAGCATTCTAAAGAAAGCCAAAGAGAAAAAATTGCCCCTTACATTTTTGAAATGAATTACACCAAAATTCTTGAAGAATATCTATAGATAAAGAAAAAATTACTTATGAAATTTATCAAGAAAAAAGGAAAA